TATCATTGTATGGTCTTCAGCAAACATCTTGAAAGTGACCAGTCAACAGATCAGAAACAGATGTTAAAACTAATAAAAATAAATGTTTGAATTGGTGTATTGTTCCAAAATCCGAACATCTAAACATCTAAACCCCCAAGGCCTGGGTTTGTCTGCATTTTTGCGAAACGAGATAACTACATACAATAAAATTATCGGTATTATACTATCGACACGAAAAGTTGTCCATGTTTACAAAAATATTGTATATTTTTTCTTCGAATAAACGATTAAATTAACGAATTAAAAAATAATAATAGTAATAAGTTGGAGGGATTTTTAGAGAAAATATGGGACTTTTTGGACCTGCGCGTGGAGGGATTTTGAGAGAAAATATGGGATTTTTGGACCTGTGCGTGGGATTTTTTCCTGTAGTTACAATGTTAAGAATAGAAACCCACGTTTTCGGAAAAATTCACACTAGGCACGAGTGGCCTATTGCGGTTGATCCCTTAATGAATGACACCGAATCCTTTTCTGTCTACCGATTGCAACCGCGAATAATGAAAACGCGAATAAGGAAACTGTGAATAAGGAACTTTTACTGTATTTACTAAATTATTTATAACATAATAAAGCCATTGGAATTCTTTTACTACATTCATTTGTCTACTTTTTCAAACAATAATAAAAAACAACATATAAGACTTAACTGCATTCTATAAACAGTTCGCTGCAACCTTGGACAATTTCCATAATTATTTAATATTGGTCAAAATGAAAGCCATATAAATTGCAAAGTCTATAGTCAACTACTATTATAGTAAACGACGTCATGTGGGTATTACAGACTATAACCGAAGATTTACGATCACTGCTTTGTGAAATAAATATTAATGGACTTCTTTATATTGAAAAATAAGATGGTCACACAAAAAGGATGTGCAAGGGATAAGTTTTGGCTTGAAAGATTAAGATAAATGAAAAAACAGAGACGATTAAGCTTTAATTTTATCATAACTGTGCCTTTTGTGGGGAGCTTGACCGTGAATTTGTGAGGTCCTGGGCTAATACTGCTTCAGGGCCTACTTAATTACTCCAAAGTCAATTGCGTGGGAGAATAAGCGGTGGGAAAATACACCAACCGAAAACTAGCGGCGGGAAATTCTCCGTTCCGTTGGATAGATGCGCACACGGGTTGATTAATCACAGGGTTGACAACCTTACGATCGATATTTTTTTAATTTTAGTTTTTTTTTTTGTTCACAATGTCTTCTATTATTTTCAATTAAGGCTGGGACATTTAGTATCCACGGGGTGCAGTCGAAAAAGCCCTTAAGTATATCTGCCCCAGCCTTTCATCTCCTTTTAAAATGAT